GTCAGGGATGCAAGGGGAGCCCCGGCAATCAATGTAGAGGTGGTGAATTGATATAAGGGGTACAAATGCTCACTACGCTGGGAGAGGTCAGAGACGCGGAAAGCAGGGTCTAGGGACTACTTGAACTCTCAGTTTGATGCATCTGCCTGCGCTCTCCCGCGGATCCCTTCCCTCTCCAAGGTTAGTCTCAGGGAGGGTGAAAGTCGAAATAACTGCCTCTTCCCCCCTCCAAAACATGGACTCTGATACGACTCCTTCTGGTCCTCTGCACATCCGGTTTCATATCAAAAAATGCTAATTTTAGATGTGCGAGGGGGACGCAACGCCACTGCCACGCAAATGCGGCTTGATCCAAATGCTAGATTCAATTCTGCTCAGATTAGGTCACCTTCTTTCCTTTAAAGACATTTAACCTTTGCCACATTGGCCGGAAAGTAGAACATTGAAGGAGGTACTGCCCCTACACAGTTGAACAGTCTCTCGTCAAATGTACCCCCTATTTAAAGGACTATAACTTTCTTCATTGATAACCATTTCAAAAAGTGAAGGCAGGAATGCACAAGATTTCTGGTTTCTAAATTGTGCTGAGCGTTTTTCTAATCACACCTATTCTCGAGAGTGGGAGACGTCGAGGAACTGTCAAGGAAATTGAAATTTGCGAACCCCAACAAAACCGTCAGAATCCACTCACCACACGATAACTTATCTGCGACGCAATTTTTTTCAATTCTCGCTAGTCGGACTTCTCTAACTCTTTCCGCGACTTACATTATCTCTCACCTTCATTCCTGCCGCTTATTGCTAGACTTTCTGCAGCGCCGAGCAAGCTCGTATCTCTTGCGTGTTTTACGATTTTCGTTCCTTTGCTCCATTTGCAGCCCACCTTCCTTATATTCCATTTCATGTTCTAGTGGGATCAGAACATTACATTAGTTCAATCCTGATTCATCCTGTTATATTAGTGAAATGGCTTCAGATCTCAAGAGTGAGTCGAAGGTGCATGTCGAAAAAGCAAAATTGCTTGCTCCAAACTTCGAACATCTCCCCCATTTTTCTTACTTTTTATAGCAAATGACCGTATTATGGAGACCCTTCTCAGATTGTCTGTATCGTAACATGGGCGTGTCACGTTTCGTCGCATTTCAAGATATGGACGAGTTTCTGATTCCACAAGCTCCAAACTCTTCATCAGAGGCGGCGCCACTTCTGGCGACCTTGAAGACACTATTCGTCAAAAATATCGCTTCAATTCGTGTGACTGCTCGATATATGAAAATCACGTATGTTGCTTGATCTGTTTTGTCACTTCACTTCAAATAAGTTTTTTTTCAAGGGACCAGGGAGAACTGAGAACGCTGCGGAACACAATCAGGAGTCGACATGTGGACACTCAGCTTACTAAGTGTGTCGTACGGCCTGAAATGGTATTCGAACAGGTATTTATTTTTCCATCAATTAAGTACGCAACAAAACGAGGGGTATAGGGTGACTCCATTGAGCGCTTCATGGCTCTGCTAGACTTAACATCTAGTTTTCTGATAAATGCGATCGACCACAAGCTAACCTAGCTGTTTTGTTGCATGAAGCCTTTGAACAATCGGCGCCTTTGCAGACTCCACGGATAGGTCCCATTCATAGTTCGCGCTTAATGCGATTTGGCGTAGCGGTTGGGAGGAATATATGCGTATCGACTGAAGGATCGTCATCATATCGCACCGACGAATGGTTATTGGACGGCATCAGTTCCATCTATGTGCACTCTTCTCCTATGAACATAATCGCCAAATCGTCACATCGCTTTATCACCTAATCAGCAAATTTTGGGTCGATACGTATGTTTTCCTGTCATAATCGCTAAACCGCATTAACCGCCATCTATGAACGGGACAATAGCGCGGTCAGTGCGGCAGTGAGAGGAGCGTCAACACACGTGGTTGAGCATGACGCATATTTGGGGCACGGCCTGTGCCTCTCATCGCTCAATTTCAGTTTAATACATCCTGTATATTTTGTTTTATTGACCTAGTACCTGCCGCGTTCCTTTCTATAGTGTTTTTCCTTGCGTAGAACTTTTTCTTTTTTAGATGAATTATTGTTTTAGTACCTCGTGAACGGAGCGTCGTGCAGTTTGAAAGTGGCGGCAAGCCGTTCGCAAAGTAATAATTGTATAGAAAAGAAAAAGCTTTGTGATAGAAACCACGATCCAAAGCAATACGGCACGAAGAACACACAAAAAATATTCAGAGTATAATGAAATTGAAATCAGTCAATCGAAAAATACTGGCTGTGGGTCAAGTACACGTCATGCGTCAGGTGTGTCGACGCTCTTCACACTCTCCGCACAACGACCGCGCTATCCTCAGAGTTCGCGCCAGCGCAAAGTATGAAAGTGGCCAAAGAAACGAGTGAGAGTGTTCAAAAACCGTAGTTAAACCTTTCGGAATGTCAAAGAAGCGAGCAAGAAAGGGTACTCTTACCGTTCTCATCTGAAACGGTTCCACGGCAGGCAGCAGTTTTCGGCACGATGTATGGTATGCGGAAAGGAACCGAGCCCTTGATCTCGCAGTCAGTTCTCCTCCTCAGGACATGACAACTAAAATTAGGACACCACTTATTTGCCCTTGGGAAGCTACACGTTGGCGACGATGTCGGTCAATGCTGACCGACAGGCAGTCTGTCACATGGGACGATGTTAGCCAATGGTGACCGACGGCTTGAAAGTAAGCAAACTCAGATGAAACTCGCGCCTTTTTTATTTCAACGCGTACTTGTGTCCTAAGTTTCTACACTTGTCTGCGAATTATGATCTTTCTGATTTCTGGGAGTTTTTTTTGAATTAGTTATCAGTGACAGAAACGCGCTGTCAATTGAATCACAACCACAAAGTTCCCACCGTCAGCAAACTGGAAATCTCATTAAAAATGTTCATATCGACCTTTACCAATTAGGTTACCGTCAGTAGAATGTCCATTTCTAGCCTTAGGTTCCCATGATGGCCGAGTACGCTCAGTCTTACTCACAGGCAAGACAAAAGTACCTATACCTAGTAAAGTAAGGTCCATCAATGCCAAATATTTCACAAACAATTTTTTTGACCTCGAAATGACTCGTTTAAATTTCTTATTCGATCATGAAGAAGATAACAGTCAAACAAAAGCTTATTCCGTCAGGTACGCAAAGTTTTTTGCGTCGTTCTTGAGTGAAAAAATAAGGTTTGAGAATGCTAGGCGATATCACTGAAATTTTACCCAGCATTCAGTAGTAACAACTTTTCGTTGTTTCTAAACGTGTCTGGAGTACTCTAGTTAAAGGCATTTTGTGCATTTCGAGATTTTACAGAGCTATAAAATAGATTTTGCCCTGTATTACCGGCGCTTTGCATGTAAAAAACGTCTCGTCCAATGCGCGCGACAAGGAAAAAATTGCTCGTCGTCAACGTGTTAAGACTAAGCTTAAGCCCAACCATGGGCTTAAGAATAACCCATGTACAAGAATAGCCTGAATAGGCCTAGATCAAGCTTACCTTAGCCTCAGTGGCCGCTTTGCTATGGTGACCCGACCAGAAGGAAAAGTGAACGCCTTTCATAAGCGCTAGGGCACCCGTTCACAACGATATCACCTATGAATCTCGAACTCGTGCTGAGCTTGAGCCTGCTCTGTACCGCAGCAATCTCAGCCGCTCTGTTCATGGAATCGTCGGCAGATATAGGCCATATATTTGAGATGAGATTCGATTTAGATTGAGAGAGATTCGAAAAGGCTTTATGAAATGCGCACCTCATCTCAGAAGACCTACCATCATTTCCTTTTGAGCCCACAACACGCTCCTTAAGGGGAAACAAACTGGATAATGCAAGCGATCGAATCGAAAATCGAGTCGTTTTCAGGGCATTCATCACACCAGCCGTGTAATTCAGAATTACTACGAAACACGTGTTGTTAATGGAACCACTTTGCTTCTCTATCATTTCAAAAGTGTTGGCGGCAACGTGACAGACAACAGAATTCCAACAGATTATGGAGAGCGATTACAGCGAAGATACGAAAGAGTTTTGAAAGAAGTCGGTCTGTGATGTGTGATGCGCTAAACTGCAGATGTATTTGTTGCTTCGTTACGGGTTTCTAATGTCCTTAATACGAGTAAAAAATGATTTATCAGCATATATTTGTACGCATAAAATATTCCACAGGAAGTCATAACAACAATGGAACACACTAACAATCGAATAGCAAGCATTCCCGTGAGTTCCAAGAGGATCACTCAGAGCTTCGATTGCTGCGCTCACAACAGTTTTTCCTAGTAGAATCAATCTAACCGTACCAAGAAAATATCACTCAGAGAAATAGATGTTTGTAAAAAGTTATTGGAAGCTTCCACAGAACTTCCCCGATGTAAGAAGAAACTCATAGGCTACAGGATGTGTTAGGGGGTTGCATTAATTTTTGCCGTTTTTTTTGCATTTCGAACATTTATTTTGGATGAATAATACAAAGTGCCTAACTTCAGATACTTTTTCCTGATACTATAACCTATTCCTAATTTTATATATCACTTCGAGAAAATCAGTTCAGTAGCGGAGTTACTTTGTTTTTCTACAAGCCATTTTTTGCAGAAATCCAAGTTGTAGCATCTCTGAAGAAAATGTGCTGTAATCTTCTCGATCGCATTGCTTTCATATTAAATCATGACAAGCTTTCTTCGTAAGCCCGGTGTCAGACTTTGCGAATCGCTAGCAAATCGCCGGATACGAGCGTTGCATCAGCGACTCGACGCTGTTTGAAAATGGCGGGATCCCCTGAACCCTTCAAACGTTGGCTCTCGCCACATTCCCGGTCTCACGAAGGCATGAGAGAGTGAGAGCGCATGAGAGCGCGGGAAAGTGGCGAGAGTCAACGTGCAAACGAGAGGGAGTCCTGCCACTCCCGAACAGTGGCGGGTCGCTGGTACATCGCTCGAATCGCTGGTACACAACTTGATTCGCTGGTGCAACTCTCGTATCACGCGATTCCCTAACGAATCGCTGGATTTCTGACACCGGCCTAACGGACGAGGAGGAGGCTCAACGTCTGAAATCGTTCTAAAATCCGATCATGAAATCAATTCCGATCACTATATTTCAGGATTCTGCCGATTGATGTGGTGGAAAATCACCAGAGATCTTTGCCATTTGTTAGTCTTCCTTACTTTAAATGATTAGCAGAGCGCTTAGATCGATAACTGTGTTTCCCAGAACTACCGTATCACCCTATTTGCGCACTGACTGCAAATGTTTCGCTTTGGAATTGCGAAATGCAAATTCTGCCCGTATTTTACTTGAAAACATCCGTTATATGCATGAAGAATCAATCAATGTGCTCCAGCTGCTCTTTTTCCTAATTAAAGAAGTTCGATGGTACTCCTAGGGTACCCTCCTCGTCTCATTTTTTGATTTTTTCAAATAAAATTGTGCTCTCGAGTCGAGGTACATGTTCAACGATGGGATTTCAGTGAAGATAGCTAAGTTATAAATGGGAAATGAATTTCATTTCCATTGTGTGAGTAATTAGGCTGTTCGAAATTCGAGCGGCAGAAATTAATGCAACTTCTAATAAAAGACTAACAATAAGACTTCTGAAAAGCTTCTAGGCAACCGAATGCCAAACTAAAACAAGCGTTCACCATAAAGGAGGAACTTTGTTTGTTGAGTGGGTGTGAACTTAATCGACTTAGAATTTGTTTAGTTACATATACAACACCTCAACGTTTGCGTCGACGACCTAATCACTTAGGATATTTTTTTGAAGAACACTTGCAGTAGGAGACCACGTTGCGTATTCTGGCACATGAGTCATTCCCTTGAGGAATAACCATCGGCGGATAAATGATATCGTAGCTACTTTCACGATCAAATCGAAACTGTACGGTGATATTGAGTAGGTCTCCTCGTTTGCTCATCGCAGTACAGTTCTGATACAGATAGACGAACTGAAAAGGATAAAAAGAAGTGTTGGTAAAAGACCAAAACTGTTTAAAAGAGAATATAGAGTTCTCTCTAAAATAATAAGATTCAAACAGCTCGCTTCGGCAGTAAAACTGGGGGAAGCAACGGTGAATAATTCGATTGTTCGGTCTTTTGAACCTGGGCAATCTTGATATGGTGTGTTTCTTTTCTTCTTTCTCTTGTGCGCCACACAGGTTGATTTTTTCAACCTGTGCGGCCAAAAGAAAAAAAACACAGCAACGGTAGAGTTAGTCCTTAAACCATTCCGGTTACACTGACTTACCAATCAGTTCAAAAGGAAGAGGCTCAAGCAGGCAAGGACCTAACACCCTCATGCCAGTCATTACCCGTCTCCGTCATTGGAATACCAAAGTATGCATTAAGTGTTAAGTTTATAAAAATAAGTTTTCATTCCATTCAGATATAGGGATGATTTGCTAGTTAAACGGTAACCAAACGAGGAGTAAGTTGACATACAACTAGCGGAAGTGTACATGAATACACTTGAATGAAGAAAACAATTTAATGTGAAAAAACCGAGTAATATGGTGTCTGGATCTGAACCACTCAGTATAATAATGACAGAGTTGCTAAACCAAGGATTGTATAACAAAAGATGATTTTTCGTTTAACCCTTTCGGCCCTCCGGGGTGGCAATTGCCACCACCAAATTCAAACACGCTGCATTTCCGCTGAAACAGCGATGGTTTTCTATCCTTGCTGGCAGGTTGCTTCAGTGTATTTTCCCTTCTTAATTGTGAGCTAATCGGCCATTTCATTGTTTATTCGCGTTGTATTACAAGTATTCTGTGTAACAAGATGCAACAGGGAATGGGCGCTGACCCCCGCGAACCGGACCGGTAAGTGTGACTTGGTTCTTGAAATACTCGAGTGGATCCATTTTTCATACATTCAAAGTTGACTGGGTTATAAGGGTATGCAGATTAAAAAACTTTCGGCATACTATGAAATTCGAATTGTTTCGACATAAGCTTAAAACTAAGAAGTTGGGCCATTTTTTTGAAAGCCTTCTTAATTTCCGATTATTTGTGATCGAATAGCTTCCAAGTTTCGCTATAATGATACCTAGAGCCTCACAAGTAATACAACAATAGCTAGAGAAAAAATGCTCAACCGGGGAAAAATTCAGGTCGAAAGTTGTTAATTGTCATCGATTTCCCGCACAATTGACACGAAGATCTCCGATAAATAAGTAAAAGGCTCCGTCATTATACACTAAACACTTAGAATTAAGCATACACACGCTTGATTCCGAGTTAGACCATTATACTGATAAACTAACAGGATTCATGAGAGTAAGTTACTACGAAATGATTAGCATGAGAACTTTTTTAATAACTACGTAATTAAGTGCTTTTATAAAAAATAAGTTTATATGTTACAAATTTTCAATGCTGAATAAATTATAAAAATATGAGTAAGTTTAGTGCGAAGAATTTACTTCTGTCACTGGAGTTTCTATATGGAATGCCTGTGGGAACAACGTGCTAGACAGCCCACCTTTTACACTTTTATTTTTAAATGTTCAGTAAACTATTTTTTCACTCAATGAGTCAATATAGTAATTCAGTGTTTTTTTCAGGCCATGCTACCGCTGCTGATAAGTAGTCCATTCAGCGTTTATTCGTCTTTCCCCTGTGGTCTTTATTTCGTCAATCCCAATCTCACTTGATGAGCTCCGAGGGATTGGCGAAAAAATATGGTTTCGTCTGAGCGAAGGCAGGCGAAACGAACGGTATCAATTATTTTGTTTTTAATGGTTTTTGCTTCTTAATTAGGGATTGAGATTCAGTGAGAACAGGGTTGACCAGCAACTTGTCAGAGCTTCCAACCCCGTTGTTCCAGCTCGCAAATATTAGGTGTTTCAGAAATTCGTGTCGTATTCTGACACTCCACGTTTGGATGCTTGATTTCCCTGAAATCTAGGAAAAGCTGCAATTGTGTTGATGTCATTTTGAGAACTTTTTCAGCTCTATTCGCAATGCTCAGCGACAGCTTTATCTGAAACATTTTCTTATAGCTTTTTCAAAGCTCTTGTAATGCGGATAGGACTCAATGAGCGAATGCATGACTTCTCTTTTTCTAGCATTGAATAGGACGTGAAAGTGCGGGAAAGTTCAAGTATTAACGGGCCTGCTAGCTGGGCTAGAGTGCCAACAAATGTTGCTCAGAAAAAAATTATTGTAAACGAGGAGTGGAGCGCTTATATATGAGGAGAGTAGTCTCGGATATCGGACCGGTCGTCTCGATTAGCCAAAGCTCTGACTGAGCACTCGTGCGGGTAGACCATAGCAACATGGGTGTATATGGTGTGTACAGCCTAGTATACGCGAAGAAGCTGCGAATAGGTCCAAAAATTTTTGGGGCGTGCCGCGGAAATCACTACGTGAAGGGACGTCCAGGCATTTTACTTGTTTTCTGTGAAATCGACTCGTTTCTCTAAAGGTTTGCGACGTACAATAAAGAGCGGATTCTCCTCCACAGCCCACGAAGTTTTGCTGAATAGCTCGACGGCGATGAAGGTCTACATACTTTGCAGAATTTGCACTGTGCTGGAGAAGGTTTGTGCTAGCTTTCATGGGGTCAGCGGCCGGCCATGTTGTTCGGTATCAGTGGAACTGTTACAGAGGAGAACTAGTCTTTATATTAGGTCAAAAATCATCAAAAACTCTAAGGCATGGGTCCAGCATTCCTCATTATAAAGGAACGTACACATTCCTGAAAGGTGTTTTGAAAGCACATCGCACGGCCAACCTTTCAGAAGTTGTGCCAGCTGAACTTCAGAGGGGAACTGCGAACATCTCACTCAGTAGACCTTTGATCTATCTACTGTCAAATTTCTGACAATCTCGATAGCTTCCTTGAAGAAAGAAAGAAATACATCAAAACCCAACATTATGCTAAAACGACTTTCCCTCAGTTTATCGCCTCCAAAGGTCCAGCATTCCAAAAAAACGTATACATTTGAATGGCTTTTTATGGAAAAAGATTCGCGCTTTCGAATGGTTTCTCACACAACTCGAAAGGTTCAGTCTAAACCGAGATACGTGCATTTAAAATTAGAGGTTGGA